ATGCTTAAGGATATTTTGTGCAAATTGTATTCAAAATATATCAATTTTCTCCCAGAAGTTTTTGTTTTCTTTGTAACAATGGAAGATTGTTTCGCATTATAAAACTACGGATTGGCATCGTTGAAGCTTTCACTCTTGTATTTTTTTTTTGTTCCAAAAAAGAATACAAAGTACAACCTCTGTTCGTTTTTCACAAAGAATCTAGTTTCACAAAGAACCGCCGAGAATTTCTTTATTATTAAAACTACAATTTTAACATTGGAACGAAATCTTCTCTTTCACGCGAAAATAAGAATCCTCTTGATGTATTCCTGACTTGAAGTTCTTATCCAATTTTTTCAAATTTCAAATTCAATTCGAATTCATTTTCGAATTAGAGTTCTTCTACGTATAGGTGAAAAAACGAATAAATAAAAAATGAACGAAAACTTGGCAGAAAAATTGATATCATTCTCAGTATTTCTTTTTATGCGAAACACGAATGTGAGAAAGGCAATGCATAAAAAATGAGACTAACCATGCTCCTACTGATCGTTCGATTTTCCAAATTTCCTTTTTGAAAGATTCTATCTTGAGATATTTGCAATTCTATGCGCCAATGCAAATTTTCGAGAAATTTTCGCGTGAAACGACAAACGATAATCAAGGAACAAACAAACGTAAATATTTCTGTGAATTTCTTGGAGGAGGAAGTGTGTTATATGATAATATAGATTTTTTCTCTTTTTACACTTTTTGATTTGAATTATCAATAAAGCTGAAAATAATCGCGTTATTTAGCTATAATATTAAATTTTAATTCTTCGATTTTTGATAAAAATTTATATATTGAAAATATTAATATTTTGAAAGGAAGTTTCTGCTTTAATCAAAAATTTTTTTTCAGAAATTATCCTTTCATAAAGGACAACAATAAAACAATTCTATTTTCACCTTTTCACAATCAAAAATGGGCTCTATATTATCAATCAATAATAATGTTACAAACACGAATTCCTCTTCTAGTTGTTTAATAAATAATCAAACATTTTTCCTTTCTTCTTTCAACTACATTCCAAACTATCTTTTTTACAGCCAACACGACACTTCTACCAAACCTAAAAATCTATAAAAGACTTTAAAAGAGATAAAAGAATAATCAAATTTCAACCTTGCACCCTTCCCTTTAATTATAAAATTTTCCTTCTCTCTTTCACTTCTCCACCACCAATTAGATTCCAAATTATCTTTTCACAGTCCTCATCAACAGAGCTCCCACCTTTAAAACCCACAGAACACCCTATATATATATAAGAGATTCCCACCAGATCAGACATTCCCAGAAACGTACGATTTGGCCCGGAATCCGGGCAGAAAGAAAAGGAGCGATCGAATGCAACCTCCTGGCCTTCTTTTCCCTTCCCTTCTCACCAGACGCACAACCACCATTTCCCTCCCTCCAACCCATTACCGATATTGTTAATCTATTCGTCGGTACTTGGCGCCGGTTCAGCCACGCTGTTGCCACGGTCAACAGCGTAATTCAGTCGTCAACCGTGCTTGCTTTTCCTCACGCTAGATTTAACCAAAATCGACGAGCGATGATTAGGAATGGAATGGGTGGGAAATAGGCGGAATGGAAATACAGATCGTTACCACGATTCGCTCAACGAGCGAAAGAATTGGGAAAATAAACAGGACGATAAATTCGCGTTTGGATTCGCGTGTCGAGCACCGACTTCCTCCCATTATCCTATTTATTCGATCGCTGTGAACAGGTGATTTATCGGGCAGAGACTTTAATTCAAGCAAATAAGGGGGTGAAAGAACGATCAGATCAAGTGATTGGAATCGAATTTTCGCATCGTTTTTTCTTTTTCCGTAGAAAATATGGTCTTTGATGTGGTCGTGTTTGTGAGATACGATATGGAAATATCTTAAATTATCGTGTTTCTGGCGTGTAGATATATTATTTTTGACCATGCTTGTAGAAAATATCTTTTGATACTGTTGAAAAAATTCATGTTCGAAATTTGAAATTGTCAAATGAGAAATTTGATGCATAGGAAATCAAATTGAAATACGATGGAGGTATAATTATTCTTTAATAAGGTTACTTTGATCTTTGATTCTTGAGGATTATTTTCCTCAGGGAAATAAATGGAATCACGTTTAAAAGCGAATGAGATATATAAGCAATCGAGGCAAATATTTTCATGAGAAACAGGAAGCGTCACGGTTGACCGGTTGAATTCTTTCGTATGCATCAATTTCATATCGTTCCCGAATGAGATATATCGGGGAAGCGTCTGATCGACGCGAGACATCAAGATAAAATGATAGAATAAATAAATGAAACTTTCGTGCTTTATTTCCCAATTTTCTGCATCTAGAATTTCCGTGTTCCATTTCCAACATTTTCAATCTATTTCTGCGACAATCACACGAATCACACGAAAAATTATCTTATTTTCTTTGATATCATTCGTTTCTTTCATTTATCGAAATCTTTCTCCTCTCACCTTTCCTTTCTTTTTCTATATAAATTTACAAAATGCAAAAGTTGCAAGAAATTAGTTTACTTTTTATACCACAAAAAGGATCTACCATTTAAATATTTTATTATCTATCTACGAGGAAACAAGAAATTTCTCTATCTTTCCAGAAGATTGCCAATTGATCACGGAGTAGACGGTTAATTAACATATCAGTTTGCTATCTAATTAGGGAGACGACGCACTTCATTACTTTCGCAAGAAGAGATGCTTTCAAAGCAGAGACATTCGATTGATTGAATCGTAGGCCGTCAATAGTAGTTTAATTGAACGAGACGCGAGAAACCTTTGAATTAATGGGCAAATAACGAGTTTCGAATTGAACTATTTAAAGATAAGATCTCGAAGATGAGAAATAAATCTAGTTCTTGATGAAAGAAATAATGAAATTTCTTCGATCGTTGAATTTTAATTCGAGTGATTTTTGCTTTATCTTCCTTCCTTTATACCTCTGTAATAATAAGTTAGAAAGTTGAGAAAAGTTGTGATACTTTCGATCGAAATTGTTTAATCTAATTTTTTTTCTTCTCCAAAAATTAATTCTCTGCACGCTTTTCGACGAATACGAATACCTCTAATAGAGGAATATTTTTAAATTTACTATGACACGTGTGATCCAGCGTGTTGTTTCGCCGTGAAAAAGAACGTGTGATCATCGCTTAAAAGAGGTAATGGAAGGCACACTCAGAAGTAAGATTAAAATTCATCGTCACGTACATCTAACAATTTCGTAACGAGGAAATGTAAAAGCTTTTCGAGCTCATCTCTTGTCTTTCAACAAACATGTACTCGATTATCAATAGAAAAATTGCACGAAAAAGTGCCACACTCTTTTAATATCGCTCAAATTATCGAATTCATTATCATTATCATTCAAACTTGTAACTTGTAAAACACGAGGAATTGTTGAAATTATTCCATTATTATATTCCATATATTAATTAAAAATCAAAGAAATCGTTGACTTAATATTGATTAAATATCACAGAAAGTCATCAATATCATTTAATCGATAATCAATACAATTTGAAGATCATCGACATGATGATATTCATTTTCAAGAAAGTCATTTCAAGGAATTCTTCGATATTGAGACAATTGTTGATGTCTCAAATTTTTTAAACTTCGAAAAGGAAAGGAAATTCAATTCAACGAATAAATATTTTTTTATCAACGTATTGTTCGTTCAAATTGTAGGGAAGAAGAAGCATCATATTTCTATGAAATAAAACATTCTCGACACATATTCTAAACCCAATGGGTTCCGCGCAATTTTATCTTTTAGTATTCTTCTCAATATGCATCCTAATGTTCCTCTCTTGCTCTCAAATTATCATAGAAAATACATCAAGCACCGCTATTAGCATACAACTTGGATCGCCGCAATTCGGTTTCATTCTTCCGCCTCTTTACGAAGAACAGTCAGCCATTCCTGAATAAATAAAATACATTAACCATCTTTTTTACGCGATCCTGCCACCCATAATAATTTCAGAACAATCCAACTGTTGAAAATATCGGACGAATGTAACGTGTTAAACAGGAGAATCGTTTAAAATTTAAACTGGAGGAAACGAGGATAGCGTCATAAATGGACGTGGTTAAATTTCCTTATCATGCTAAATTATAATGAATGTACTCTTGTTAATTCTGTCACGAGAGCTTGCGAGTTTGAAAAGGCCAGATCTGGATGAGAAACGCCGTCAGGTTTCAAGGATCGAGTGAACGAGACAAACTGATCGCGAAGTAGGCCGGTTGAATCTATTAAAAAGTTGCCAAGAAAGTGCCGTGCTCCCCTCTTGTATTCTTATTAGTAGAAATTCCAGGCTGCTGTTAGCGAAATTTGTTTTTTGCGATGGTGGGATTAAAACGAACGTTCAAAGGAATTAGACGTTTTTAAGATGCTCGAGAAAAAACCCGTTTCCCCGTTGATTATGCAAACGATCGCTCTTCGATTAAGAGTATTTTCCTTATTTCGCAAACTTTGTTTTCAACTAAATTTATTAGAAGCTCGATTTATGAAATGACAGTTAAGAGAAACTTAACTAATTTTTTAATCTGAACGAGTTAATACTGTCTGTTTATAACATTCTGGCAATCGAAGATTTAAGATATTCGATCAAGAATCCTTTTCAACGAAATTCCTTTCCCTGTTCAAAAAATTTTGTATCATTCTCCGTTAAAAGTAGAATCACGCGTTGATCTATTATTTATAATACTATTATCTTCCTCACAGAAAACCTTTGAAATCAAATATTTTTCATCCAAATCTCGATACCATGAATTTTCCTGCATATTTTAGAAAATCACTCGCAAGAGTATCGATTAAGAAAATTTTACCCCCTACTAAAAGAGAACAAAGAAAACCTGCCGCTATTATTAACTCAAATTCGAACGAACAACGAACAAAACACGATGAAAGAAAGCATCAATAAATAATCATCGATTAAACAACAACATACTCACCTTGGTGTAGACACCGGCGCTGGACAGTTCGTTCTCGATGACCATCACGATGATGCCGAACAT